CCATTGAACTCCATTTTGTCCCACAGACACGGGGGGAAATGCGCCGCAACCACCGCCTGGTGAGGGGCGGGGCCTAAGGGGGAAGGGGCGGGGCTTTGATGGGGGTGAGGGGTGGTGATTGGTCCATGATGGCAGAATGGCCAATCAGAGGTGGGAAGGGGAGGGGCTTATGGAGGGGGAGGGCGGGGCTTGTTGGCCACGCCACTTTCGCTGGGCCAATGTCTGCAGTCGGTGTGCAGTGGGGGCGGGGCTTCGGCTGTGGGGGTGGGGCTTTGACTTTGTTGGGGGTTGTGATTGGTCCATGCTGGCAGAACGGCCAATCAGAGCTGGGAGGGGCTTAGGGAGGAGTGTCAGATTTAGCCCGATGCCCATTGGCTCCATTCTCATCCACTGTCCCCGCCCCCTCGTGATTCCCCACCAACGATTGGCTACGCCTCTAGCCCCACCCACTTACCTGAAGCTCCTTTTCCATTGGCTCTGCTCCCATTTGCTGTCCTCGCTCCCTCACCATCACCCTCAGTCCATTGGCTCCCCCTTCCTCTAGCCCCGCCCACTTACTCAAAGCTCCTTTCCCATTGGCTCTGTACCCATCCACTGTCCATGCCCCCTCACCATAGCCCACTGCCCATTGGCTCCCCCTTTCTTCATCCCCACCCACTCACCCAAAGCTCCTTTCCCATTGGCTCAGCGCCCATCCATTGTCCCGGCCCCCTCACCATCGCCCCCTGCCCGTTGGCTCCCCCTTCCTCTAGCCCCGCCCCCTGACCTCTGACCCCTCTCCCCCCCCCATTGCAGAAGGTGGGCTTCTTCAACCAGCAGGCCGCGGAGCAGCTGCGGCTGGGGGAGACGGCGGCCGAATACCTGCAGAAGAGCTTCAACCTCCCCCACCAGGACGCCCGCAAGTGCCTGGGGAGATTCGGCCTCGAAGGCCACGCCCACACCCTGCAGATCGCCAAGCTGTCCGGTGGGCGGGGCTTACAGGGGGCGGGGCTACTAATAGGAGGCGGGGCTACGAAGGGGGCGGGGCTGCCAGTAGGAGGCAGGGCTATTAAAGGAGGCTTGGCTACCAATAGGAGGCGGGGCTACGAAGGAGGCGGGGCTATTAATAGGAGGCGGGGCTACCAATAGGAAGCAGGGCACCAAAGGGGGCAGGGCTAATGGGGAGTGTGGCTGCCAATAGGAAGCGGGGCTACCAATAGAAGGCGGGGCTGCGAAGGGAGCGTGGCTGCCAACAGGCAGAGCTATGAAGGGGGCGGGGCTAATGGGAAGCGTGGC